AGGCCTCGGCCTGCGCCCGGCCCACCCGTCGCTCCACAACCCGAGCCTCCACCGCTCTCTCCTTCTCCACGGAGGTCATCAAGCTCAGCCCTCAAGCCACGGTTCTCAACCTGTAAGGACAAAAGGGAGACGGGTGCAAAAATCACACGATCTTTCATTCAGATATTTCACACAGTCTGCTCTTACCCTCTTACCTCTAACTCAACTATCTTTCTCCCGAGGATGTTGGCTTCCTCCTCCACCAGCCGAAGGCGTAGCTTCAGCTCTGACTCACGCGTGGTGGGTGGCCCCCCAGCCTCCCCTTTTGGGTGGGTACTGTCAAGTTCTCCATAGAACGAGCGGTATTTCTGCAGCTCTTGCTCTAGCCGGTCCTTCTCCTTGTCAATCTTGGCAGTTTTCTTCCTCATAAGCACAGCCTCCTCTTTGATGAAAGCTAGCTGGCACTTCAGGTCCTCATTGTCCTCCTAAAACACAAACTGTATACACTCAAGTGCATTGAATTGGTTAAATTGTTAAGAAGGCTGGTTTCTGCATTGAGACCTAAGACTTAAGATTAAAGTGAAGAGCAGATTTTTTTAGCCACAGTCTTTCTGAGCCAGACGGTTATCTCTCATCCGACTCAGCAGATTCTTGGCATGTAATAAGTCTAACAAAATTGCTCCAGCTCTGCAAACCCTCAGCTTTCACTAAAACTTTGTAGCTGGAGGTGAAAAGCCAAACATTTGACACAACAGGATATCACAGAAGCTCATACGCAAAATCTCAGGTGTGGACCCTGAGAGTTTGCAGGTAAAAGCTGTTTATTCTTTGGCCTGACTGCTCAATACATCGGCATTTTAACTCCAGGTCATGTCTAAGTCTCCAGGCTGCAGTGCATGTTTAAAAATAACTGATTCAGGACTAAATATTCACACATCAGTTCACATGAGACTACACATTTTCCTAAGAGAACTACCTCCTAACAGTTATCTGCATCAGTTTAGGCAAGGTAAGCATTTATGCCAAAAATGTATAAATATACACAAAATAAAAATAATTATTTTTAATCATAACAGCATCTCACCTCAGTGGGAGTCTGTGCTGCTTTCTTGTCACTCTTCTGGACGTCCTTGCTTCCTCTTCTCTTTTGAGACTATAAGAGGACATTGCAATTGA